ACAACAACATTTTCAATTACAGAAGCCTATTCAGTTAATTGTAATTTGGAAATATTGAGCTGTAGTAGTGTATATTTTGATTATTCATAAAAAGATTATTGATCACTAATCATCCTTAAAAAATGATTGGTTCATTGAAGTATAAATTTCATAAATATTTATTGGAAATGAACGTAGACAATAAGTTGACGGGAGAAAAGAAGACTGTTAAAGAAGCTAATAAAAAAATAGAAGAAAAGCTTGGAGAAGACAACGAATCTTCTATTGCTAAAGCTCCAAAGAACATTTTAGGTGACTTAAATGCACCAAAAAAAGACAATAAAGATGATTCACTCCCCTCAGAATCATCCAAGACAGAAGAAAAGAAAAAGGGATTTTTTAAAAATATCTTCTAATAAATTCATAAATTAAAAATTTGCTTTATATAATTTTATATAACTGAATCCAGTGAAAAACAAGTTTTTAATCAATAAAATCTGACACAAAATAATTTAATAGTTGAAAAATCTATTGCTAGCTATCAACAATCATTTAATAAAGCCTTTAATTCTCCTTCCATTTCAGTGATTTTACCAAATTGGACTGAAATATCATTGTGAAATATCCAAATTGCTTTGTTAATTTCATCTATTTCACGGGAAATCTGAGATTCTAGAAGATCCATTTCAATCCGTCTTTCTGAAAGCTCCTTCTCACTTTTTTGTAAACTAGAAACGGATTCCAATTTCAGTTTCAATAGATGGTTTTCTAATCTATCAAGGTCGTTCAAAGATTGTTGCTGCTGTATGTCAAATATATCCTTCTTTTCGGTGTATATTGCTCCCATAGTAGTTAGCTTGTTTATTAAGTAGGAATGCTGTGTTTCATAGTCTTTAATTGTATCAACTCTTTCTGCAATTTTTACTTCTAGATTTTTGTTGTTAATCTCAAAATTAGTCAATGTTTCTTTTTTGTCACTAAGTTCATTGTCATAGTCTGTCAAATTGACGGAAAGCTTCGAATTATCTCCAGTTCTCATCGTAGAGATTTCATTCAGGATATTGTCATGGTAATCTTGTGCCAATATAAGCTCATTGTCATAATTTTTAATATTTTGCAATAATTGATCTCTAACAGGTTTTATTCGATCTAATTCACGCATTAAATCTAGTTTTTGCTTTTGTAACTGCTGAATATCTTCAATATTTATTTCCTGATCTGAAATCAAACTATTCAGATTTGTCTGTTCTTTCAACAGCACTTCTGTTTTCTCTTCCATTTTGAGTATTTCCTGTTTTATTTCTTCAATAATTTTTCCATACTTTATTTTTCTGGATTCTATTTGGCTCTGATGTTGAATTAGCATATTTAAATCCTCCTTCTGTTTCTTCTTCTTTTGCTCTAATTTGCCAATATCCTCAAACTTACTTAATATTGTTTTTAGTTCATTCTCTTGAAGCTCTATCTCCTCTTTCACTGACTCTATCTGCTCGTTTTCTTTAGAATGCATACTTTTCATTTTCTCCATAAATTCTTCTTCCCCGGAGTTATCCTCTTCATTGTTCATAAACTTCTCATACTCTATACAAACAAACTTAAAGAATTCTGATTCCACAGTTTGCTCCTTTAAATTATTTTTTTCACAGTTTGTGATCAATTCCACAACCCAGCAAATCATACTTAATATAGCTGGCCAGGCATGTGGAGTTATGGAGGATAGTTGACTACGTGTAATTTCATTCGAATAAGGATATTTTAAGATTTTCAAAATTTGAATGATGTCATCTTCAAATCTATTAAATGGCTGTGGATCTAAGTATGAAAATATAAACTTGACAATACTTTGAAAATCCTTATTTGATGGATTTGTCAGAGTATTTTGGGTCAAATTTCCATCATATTTGTTGTTAGTCAGAAAGTTGAAAATCGTTTTTATAGACATTTGCCGGTACTCTTTGTCGCGAATATTCCTAAAGCTTTTTTTGGCATCATCCATAGAAATCGATGTTCGTAGAACACTTGAATTTACGTGAATTCCAGTATTTATGTGAATACTTTTTCTAGGGGTTAGAGTAAATCGTCTCATTATGGGCAAAACAGTCTGGAAAATTCTTCGACTTAATATAAAATACCAAAAGCAAGGCCAAGGATTAGTTGTAGTAATATTTCCTGTTTTATTCTGATCAATAATCAAAGGAAAGGACACAATCCTACATTGGAAGATTTAAAATATGATTTATCTTTGTATTGATCATCCAATTGTAATTCATCGGTATCTCAAATAGTTCATTTCAAAAACTTTATTATTAATAGTATGTATTGGTTGGGAGCAGCTTTGTAGAATATTTGATTTTCTTAAAATTTTAACCCAAGAATGGTAAAAATTACTAAAGGCGAGTTTAAGTCAACTACATCAAAGTCAAAATCTATTGGAAATAGACAGGATTTTAAAAATGACAGAAATATGCGTGAAATTAACAAGAAGAGAGGAACTAATATTGCAGGAGCTTCAAAATCGGTAGTGATAGAAACACATCCAAAATTTCCAGACATTTATATTGGAAGAGGTAAAGAAGATGTATTATTAACATTAAATATGATTCCAGGAACCAGTGTATACAATGAAAAGAGATTAACGGTAGAAAAAAATGGTGAAAAAACAGAATATCGATTTTGGAACTGTTTCAGAAGTAAATTAGCAGCTGGCATTGTATGTGGCTTGGAATTCATGAGCATCAAATCAGGAACTACAGTTTTATACCTTGGAGCATCTTCAGGAACTACACTTTCTCATGTTTCTGATATTGTAGGCCCAGACACTTTAGTCTATGCTGTTGAATTTTCAACCAGATCTGGTAGAGATTTAATCAATTTAGCAACTAAAAGAGCCAATATTGTTCCAATTATTGCAGATGCACGAAATCCTAGTAAGTATAGAATGCTAGTGCCCATGGTTGATACCATTTTTAGTGATATCAGTCAAGCAGATCAGAGTAAAATTGTAATGGAAAATGCACAATACTTCCTAAAAGATGAAGGTGTAATTATGATAAGTGTAAAAGCCTCTTGTGTTGATTCCTCGATACCAGCAGAACAAGTATTTGTAAACGAAATCAATTGGCTTAAAAGGCATGATTTTAAACCAAAAGAACAAGTAACATTGGAACCTTACGAAAAAAACCATGCCATGATTGTAGGCATTTATAAGCCAACAAACAAAACTACTGAATAAATTATAAGTATTTTAAAATTTCTATACATGTCTGATACTTCCGATTCTCTATGCTAACATTAATGTGAATAGGATATACCAAAAAGTATAACATTTTCTTTGGTATGAAGAACTATGGAGTCATTTATTTTAATATCTCATGTTGCCATTTCACTCATCAAAGTGCTTGCATTTGAATTGGAGAATTTGGCTTTCTACGCTTTCCCAAAACATTTTTTCCACAATGTTGGCAGCGAATTGGATCTTTTGGCCTTAGCGTGATGTCTACACCACAATTTGTACAATAATACAAACTGGAGGTTGATTCTGAGGAATTTCTAAGCTCCATTTGGGGAAAGTTTTTGGAATAGGAAAAATAGAATTTTTAAGTAGGCTATAAAATTAATATTGGCAAGCAAGCACAGTATTTCTGATGCCTTCCATATATTTAAGAGTAATTAGTCATTAATGATTTAAAATTAAAAGATATATCATCCTTATACTTTGCCACTTTAGATTCACTAGCAGTAGGATATCTATTAATTGTCTGTTTGATAGACTGCATACTTCTATACCAGACATCTCATCTTAACAAAGAATAAAACTGGTTATTCATTTCAATAAAAATAATATTATCTTTAAAAAGAAACCATAAACTAGGCCCCTTCTATCACCAAAATTTAGACATGACAATATGGTTGTAACAACTCCTTTAGAGAATGTATATCAAAGATATTTATTAACTTAATAACAACTCAAAGTTACCATTCCATATGCGTTTCTCTTTCTTATTGTAAATTCTATAAGCCGCGACTTTTAAGCGGTTTTTACAAAATTGATTTAGTTTTCTCGAGTGAGGTGCATAAACTTCTTCTTTTGGCAGTTCTTGCCCAACCAACCAAACCTTATTTATTTTACGAACAATTAGCTTGTTTTCTGTGATTATGCATAAATAATCATTCTGAGCTTTATGCATAAAAACTGGAGCAACAAACAGGTTATTATCAATCGTGTTCATTGTATTACCAAATGGTACATTTCCATAGCCCATAAAAGGACCTTCATCATCAGGCTCCAATATAATACAGTCTTTTGGTGTCAAATCATCCTGATTGTCGATTTTACGATAATATCGATTCAGCAGACTTACCATTCCAGGATTAACTATGAAGAATGGGTGCTCTTCTGAATATTCAAAAATAACAATCTCTGCAGAATCATTGCAAAAAATATGAAAATGGTAAACTGAGACATAATTTAGATCCTTACGGTTTGATCAAAAATGGACATTTTCCCATTCCAAGTGAAGGCCAAGACGAATCCACTAAAGCCCTAAAAAAACACAAATCTGGTGAATTGTCCAATGATATGGTGGATGAAAGCAACTGCCTAACAATTAAACGAACTTATCTGGAAAATGGCAAAGAGGTTGTTAGGTCGATAAAGGTTTATGATCCAAAAGTCGTTAAAGCATATTTACTGGCAAAAAAGAAATACAAATCAGAAGAGAAAAAGACGAGTTTAACATGCTCTAATTGTGGACAAAGTGGGCATATGAAGACCAACAAAAATTGTCCAAAATATCAGGGAGTAAAAAAAATTACTGGGAAAACTCCAAAAGAAATACTTCAAGAGAAACTATTAAAACTGATGGCTCAACTTACTAATATACCATTTTCATCTCCCTTTCATCGTCCAGTTTCTAATAAAAAATTCCCAACCTATGCAACAATTATTACAAGGCCCATAGACTTTTTACAAATTAGAAATAATATTAAGAATAATTTATATTCCTCATATGGTGATTTTCTATTTGATCTTGAGCAGATCTATGAAAATTGCAAGGTGTTTAATGGACCGGTTCACTCCCTTACCGAGGTTGCCAAAGAAATTTATGATCAAGGATCCAATTATCGAATATTGAATTTTGATGAGTTAAATGATCTGGAAATGCGTATTCAAATGAATGAGTCCGAAATTGATTCTCAAAATCAATAAAAACTATTGGTAAGTAGAATAACTTTACAGCCATTATCCAAAGTATCGCTACTAGATAAATAAAAATAGTTTAATGGGTGATAAGTTGTGCAGTAAAATAAAAAATTTCTGCATCCCCTCCAATGTTTGAAAATGAAGAGGACGATACACTTCCATTGCAATATCTGAATAATGAGAATCCATATGCATTTTGTACTGACTATCATAAAAACACAATAAATATGACTTCAAAAAAAGAAAAGCTAAGTGCTATTCACAGATTACAACCAACAAAATTGCAGATGAAAATGGATTTAAACCACTTAGATGCGGAAAGGAAACAACTATTGGCAGATGCAATTGAAAAAAGGAGGGAAATGTTAATTATGAAGGGTTTGGCAATTCTAAACACTAATAGTAGTGAACCAGAACTATTATTTGACCAAAATATACAAAATGAGCATATTCTTGAGATTGCTCTAGAGCTTAAAAAGATGAAACTTATTTATCATCAGATGAGACTTCGA